TTCTTGTTCTTGTTCTTGTTCTTGTTCTTCTTTAGTAAGAGGATGATCCGATTGATTAGCTCTCGTAAATAGGGGAATGTTACTTTACAAACACTGTTTTTGTGTTATTCAAATTTCCAGACAATGAAACAAAGGAAGCCTTTGTCTTGTTGGCACATATATAACATTAGGTGACGTCACCGATATCTTCAATAACTTTCCATACGAAATACACACACGTAAATCTATAAATGTATGGATAAATTTGACTGACTCGGCAAGCCAATCTTTTTAAACAATTCATTCATCGTGCGTAACGCTCTGGGACAAAACGAGAATTTTATCACTCTATATATGGGTCATATATCCGAAAACAAAACATCGTTCAGGCTACCAGGCACGTACTTGCCTGTTGCTGTCACGCAGTGTCACGCGACTAACTCCCAGAGTTCGGTGGTTTATGATAAGGCATGTCCTTACACATAGCTACACGTGAAAACCAAGCAATGGACAAGACGGTCATGACTCGTTCCTTGTTTCAGGTTTTCCAGCCGTATACTGAAATAATTCACAGTGCAGAAATCCCTGTAAAGACGAGCATCATAACACTTACTCTGTATGGCTTCAAGGCATTCCTACAGCAACTGGTGTTTGACTGCCCGCGACATTACCACGTCCTTTACGGCAGCCTGTTCATTTGTGGTCCTGCCGTCATCCTGTTCTGTCTTTCCATGCTGATATCAGAGTCATTTTGGACTCTCGTCACTGGCTGCTGCCGCCTTCAATCCAGAAAGCGGACGCTTGTGTGGTGGAAATCGAGTAAAAGTGTTTATCTATCTCTACTTCCACCGTGTATTTGGCTCGTTTTCGCTTTTATGGAGGGAGATTTCTACGTGTGTTTAACCCTCGGTCCGATTGAGGCCGCACTTAAAAACGTCGATGATTCAAGCTCCAAAGAAAAGATTGAAGAGAAGTTCGCTCAAGCTAAAAGCATTTCAGTCATAATATCATGGGTGATGTTGATATCACTGACCGTGATCGTGACAGTGTGTGTCACGCTGAGCAGAATCCTCGCGCAAGTCGACCCTAAACTTCAGGGAGAGATCGAATTTGACGAGATTGAGGCACAAGAGGCGGTGAAACTATGGAATGGTCGCTTACAAACCCTAGCAAAAACGCAGGCTTTTGAAGTCATAGAAGAAGTGTCTGAAACTTTCAAAGATGACAAAGATGACGTTTCGGAACAAATACGTCGGGGCGCGGCCTACTTGAAGAAATTGTATCCAAGATACGGAGGGGTGATTAGCGGTCACTTCCGTAACGACTCCTGGAGACCAAGGGATGAGCATATGAGAGACATTCTTGATAGGAGATCGCCATCGAGGGAGCTGTTGATAAACGACAAGAAAGTGATGAGAGGATATGGCTTACGTCACACAACCAGCATATGATGAGGTCATGCAATCTATGCGGTGCCCTTGTATTTAGCCTCCGAGCAGGCTCCCAGCGAGGGCAGAAAAAAATTTGGCGAGCGAAACCAGCGAACGAGCGCGAAACTGAAGAACGAATTCGCAAGCTACTTTGTATTATGCGTGCTGTTTCACTTGGGTAGTCTGATCATGACATTACGGGAGTTAAAAGGCTAACATTGTTCTTAAGTTTTCATCCGTATTGGTGTTATCACCTAACTTGTAGCCTGTTCCAGGCTCTCCGTCAGTGGGGATGATCGAAAAAGCGGGCGGGCGACGAAGGGGATCAGCGACGAGCGGGACCAGGGAGTGAAAAAGAGAGGGCTTTATTCCTCTACCAAACTCTGCTCGTCGCCCGCCCGCTTTTTCGATCATCCCCACTGACCGAGGGCCTGGAACAGACTACCTAACCTGATGTTGTTTAATCGGAACTTTTTGTGGAGGGAAGTGTTTATTTATCTCACTCAACTAACGCAACTCAGCTAATGGATGATATCTGATGGAATCGGGAGTCAATTATCATGATTGGAGTTGTGAAGTCATGACATCACAAAAACAAAATGAATTTTTGCTTTTAATGGTCTTTAATCTTTCAGTTTCAACCAGTGCAAAAGTAATCCCAAAGATTTTTTTAACGTTTGCTCTGGCTTGCAATGTACTTTTTTTGCAAAGGCTGTATTGGAGATTTTAGACAGAAATAAAACAGATTTACAATTAAGTGTCTCAAAATAGTTTTCCTGAATTAAAAAACTAATTGAAGATAAATAATTCATCTGTTACGTTTGAAACATTACATAAATATTTCTGCAGACTTGACCAAGACACTTTATGGTTTGAAATAAGCCCCCACCCCTTCACTTCCCATTTAATTTGAGCTCCTTTAAAGTGGCTTTTAAAAGCCCTTGCCCCATCAAAAAGGGAAGAAAACTTGGTTTTCGATTGAGACATATTTTGAAGAGAGTTGGAGTGAAAGTTCTCATCTCCATATTGAGTATTATTAAAGCCTGGTTTTCACTCAATCGCAAGCACAAGGGCAAGCAAAAGCGCAAGCAATAGGGATGAGCCAAGAGAAAACGAAATTCGACGCAAACACAATCACAAGCAAAATCATCCGAACCTTCCAAACTGTTTAGGCGCGAGGTGATCTGGACCCAGTGTTTTCACTGTCCAAACATATCCACGTATGGTTAATATCCTTGTGCTTGTGTTATGCCTGAGCAGTGTTTCGTTTTCACTTGTTGCAGCGCAAACGCAAGCATAAGCGTAAGTACAAGAAAAAGGAAAAATTTTGATTCTTGTGCTTGTGCTTGCGCTTGCGTTGCTGGTGAAAACCAGGCTTAGAAACCATTCATGTGAAAATGTGTCCTGCCTGCCGTTCATTTTCATACAGAATAAACGGATCAAACTTGTCTTAATATGAATAGTTTTAAACGAGAACTCCGGCGTTTAAGGCAACTCGTAAAATTAAATGGCCTATTTCTTTCTGTTCGACGAGCCAACAGATTCACACAACCATATTTTGTTTTTCAAAACACGTGGCTACAGTTGTCGCTCAAAGAATTTGGCGCGTAATTTTAACCAATCAAAAGCAAAATGAGGTTCCCATCCAGTCTTTACGCATCAAGTCCCTAGACAAAATGGCGGACGATCTGCCATACAAAGCGGAATATGCGAAATCTGGTCGTTCTTCTTGCAAATTCTGTAAGAATAACATTGACAAGGAAAGCCTTAGGGTAGCTAGGATGGTCCAGGTAAGGAATCTTTTTGTAAAATCTTGTTTGATAGGGAGAACTAGGTAGATTTTATCCCGACAAATATCAGCCATGATGTCGCGCGTGTGATCATAGATCGAAATGGCTGCACTGAATGGGTTTAGTTAACATGTTATTCTTTCGTTATTTTTCAGTCTCCTCACTTTGACGGCAAGGTAAGGAAGATAATTTTGCTGTAGCGTTTTTATATGATAGTGTCTCATTTGTTGCAAACTTGTCTCTAAGGCTGAAGGATATATTAAATAAATGATTTTACATGCCTGTTTCGGGAAAACAATAAACATCGAAGATGAGACCGATCGAGACCCGCGGTGAGGAGGGATTGAATGAAAATTTCACCGTGAGATGCGAATAATACTACACTGTAATACATACCAGTCCACGATTTTAAAATTAGTGGGAAAATACTACAGTGTCGGCAGCAAATTTAAATTCTGATGACGAAACCAGGGGGGCGGGTGGTACATGTACTCTGTAAATCATTGGGTAGGGGTGTGCCACTGAGACACTGAAACTCTTACCCTATACTAGACCATATTCAGCATGATTTTGCAACCCTATTCTAGACTAAGCATTAAACACCCCTACCCTATCCCACACTTGCTATTTTCCATGCCAAAACTTTATCACTATCTAAGTCCAACATACGCTTACTAAACAAATTTCTCACAAAGTCACTTTCAAGTTCAATTTGTATTACAGAACTGTAAGTAAAGAACCCTGTTCTAGACTAAATTGTTTATACACTGGTCACTTTTCCACTAAATTATACCCTATAATTTTCTAGACCAAAACTGTGTGATTTCTCACCCTACGGGAGACTAGGAAATTTGGTCTGTATCCGGGAGACTCTTGGATAATCCAGGAGAGTTGGCATAGATAGGCATATGTGTTAAGAAGAGTCCCACATTGACTTTGCTTTAAATTTCTAGATTCCCAACTGGTTCCACTACAGCTGTTTCTTTAAAAAGCACAAAGTGAACACTTCCAGTGATATCAGTGGTTTTGACTCCTTGCGATGGGACGACCAGGAGAAGATCAAGGGAAAAGTAGGTGGTGGAGGAGGGAAGAGCTCAGAACCTGCTGCAGTGAGCAGTGGCTCAGATGACCTGATGGCAGAATATGCCAAGTCTAGTCGAAGTAAATGCAAGAACTGTAAAGATCAAATTGACAAGGTGAGGCTTCACAAATTCTTTTTTATTTCTTAATTTGTATAAACCAAATGCATTTAAGGTTTAAACTTTTTAAAAATAATATTAGAGATGCCAACCTAAGAAAATGACTATATGAGATTATGCAATAATATTGCATAATCTCACAAAAATCAAAATCTGGGAGATCACCAATTTTGTCTTCTTGAGCCTAAAATAGAAAGTTGTTTAAAGTAGAACTCCACCAATTCAACCACAAAAATACATCAAAGAACCCAAAAATCCCCGCTCCCCATAAAATTACTCAAAATATGTCTGAAAAATGTATTCTATGCACTCTTCTTCTTTTGTCCAGGAGATTTGTTGAGCTATATGGGAGACTGGGTGATTTGGTCTGTATCGATGCAAGAGACTCCTGGATAATCCAGGCAGGGACAGCTGGCATAGATGTAATAAGGATCATTCATTATTTTTCTTTATCAGGGAGAACTTCGCCTTGCTAAGGTCATGGAGCCTGATGCAGAGTCTAATGCACCAGCAGGAGTCCCAATCCCATGGTGGCATCACGTAGACTGCTTCATTGAAAACAGAGCTTCATTAGGAGTTGAGTCAACTGTAACAGCCGAGTCTTTCTCTGGATTTACCAAACTGAAGAAAGAAGATAAAGACTTGTTGAAGAGTAAGCTTGGATCAGGTAGAGGAAAAAAGGCTGGAAAAGGAGCCAAGAGAAAAGCTCAAGCTGTAGATGAAGTTGATGCAAAAAGGAAAAAGACAGCGGAAGAAGACGAGATTGAAAAACAGCTTAAGGTGTGTATATTGTGGGTTATAATGCTGTTGACTAATAGGCTATTTCCAAGTTGCCTATTGCCTCTGTGTCAAACGAGCCTTTGTGTGAAACCATTCATATAAAAATAAGTTCTGCTTAAGTGTACAGGTTCATTTTCATGCAAATCAAATGTATTTTCATATGAAAAGTTTCGCATGAAGACTCTTTTTGAAACAGAGGTACAAGATAACTCGGACATGGTCTATTTGTTATTGAAGAAAACTCAACATTCAAAAGGATTTACTACACAGTGCATCACCGTTCTTAATTCGACTCTGTGACCAATGAGACCTCTAAGGGATGCCATTAGTAAGTTATATGGCTTAGCAGAAATCTAGCCTGAGAGTGCCCCTTGTTAAATAGTAATCAAGGCTGTAGTGCATATGTATCGGTCATTTAATCTACATGTGTGTATGAGTATCTGCTTTCATTTAAATAAAATAGACTGAGATCTACTTGTAGTAAAGCTATAACTTGATAGGTGATGCAGGGACAGCTACATGAGACTGTGTAATTTACATGTACTTTGTTTTAAAACAACTTGTTTTATTAGGAACAAAGCAAATTGTTGTGGAAAGTGAGAGATGATTTGCAGAAGAATTGTTCCTTACCAGAACTCAGGGAGATGCTTGAAGACAATGGACTGAACTCGCAGGGAGGAGAAAGTTCTGTAAGTGAACAGCCTTGAACTGCCTGAATAAACAGAGGATGCTGCATATAATTCTGCCCCCACTCAAGAGGTGCCGGTGATTCAACCCAAAATATTTTGCATCATGATCTACAGAGATCTGAGTATATGGAGTTTGTGTTTTACTTAGCAGGGGCGTAGCTAGGGGGGTCCTGGGGTGCCCATGACCCCCCTTTTGTAAGCCTTTTTAAAGCAAAGAACTTACAACAGGTGGTGAAAACGACATGACAACCTGGTGAGTGTTTAGTTCTACCACCTTTATTCAAGCGATAGATCTTCGACTCTTACACGGTAAATCCACGTGATCCAACATCATACATTAAACATGACACGTGACCGGTAACTCACATACATTAGTCACATAACATCCCCCTTCCTTTAGGATGAAAATAAAGAAAGACAATTCCAAACCAAAATCATCATGCCTAGACCAATAGGATCAATGTTTGATAATCAGTGTTCTAGGTAAAAATCACTCATAGCTTTTCAAATGTCAAGTCCGGTTTCTAGTAACTGAAAAACTGAAAAAGTGTTCGAAGTCCCTAGTTTCCTAGCGTGAATAGTCCTTAAGGTATGCAGGCTCTTTGAGGGTTCTCTTAGGACGTTGTGAGACAGGAGCAGGTGTGGGTTGCTGTTTCTGGGGTTGCTGGATGGTCTCAAGTGTATCAGGTAGGTTGTTAGTCTCAGCTAGGGTCTTTGTCTGGTCCTTGTTCTGGGTCAATGCTGGTTCCTGGCTGGGAGTTTGTTCTAGAGGCCTCTGTGGGACAGGCTGTTCTCTCAGGTCCACCCTGTTTCTTCGGTAGGTTCCTTTCTCAGACTCAACTTCATAAGATCGTTCATCATATCTTTTGGTCACCGTTGCCTTTTCCCATGCTTTCTGTCCAAGTGTAAATGGCCTCATTCTCACCACAGCTCCTTCTTCTAAGGGGGAGAGGTCACGGGTCCCCTTGTTGTAGTACTTGGCTTGTCGCGCT